GTAAGTTTTTTAAGGGACACAAATCTTGGCAATAATTATATTTGGATAATTCTCACATGGGTTCCACCTTCTTGTCTGTCTGAATCTGCCACGTACACCCGGTTTTGCCACCCCGCCTGCCCTCCGAGGCCACGGAGACCCTGAACAGGCTGATAGCGGCGGCGCGGCGCGGCGCGCGAGTAAAGGCCGCAGGGCCGGCGAAATCCGCGCCTCGACAGGCAGTAACGTCATAAGAGACCTCAATGCTAATTGTCGCAACAAAATACTACTGGCAATGCTTCGTAGCGCTTGAAAATTGTACTGTAACAGTATTGAAAGGTGCTTAGCAAGCTGGTAAAATTTCATGTCAATCCGAGTATCCAGCACGGTGAATGTCAGTTTCGGGTATAGTTCACGTAAAAGAACGAGCCACGATGAGAAATATTCTGTCTCTTCGTTTTCAGTTCATTCTGCCGCAGTCCAATGTGTGCAATACGCTCTGTTCCCCCCACATTGTAATGTCAAATTACTACTTCCCGCCGCGTTGTAATGCCAAACTACTTTCAAAGGCAAGTTTTCTCGCTTCGCTCGCCCGGATCCAAATTACGACGAGGCGAGGCGAGGCGAGGCTCGGACCTTCGGCCCTCGCGTTCACTGTAAACATCCTTGGGTCTATCCAACGCGTAATTGCCAATTCACTTTTATAAGAAAGCACTTTAATTGTTATTACTTCCTACACACCCACATAAACCCATCTTTCTGCCTTTCCTTTCCGTAATTTGCATTGTAGAATGACGCTCCGGACATTTACACTCTTTTCGCAAAATATTATATTTTTGGCACCATTTTATAACATTATCAGCCTCATCTTTTCTCATATCGCCAAAGAAATACCTGTTTAAAACATCTACTGTGAACATATTGGCCATCAGTATTCAAACTACGCAGTTGTGTAGAAAGGACATTACAAGCTTTCTTTAGAATCAAATCCAGCGACCAGTTCACGGTGAATGAGAGTCGTACCTACAATAATAATTAGCCCTCACGCCATACGACTGACTCTACAGAAGTGCATGAAAGTCCTATAATTCTAATAGTACTATGCCTTTTTATTAAAACGGACACTACAATATTTTTTTAAAATAATTTATTCATTTGATGTTTTGGCCTTAATTGGAACCGTTTTCAAAAGCTAATGTTCAAATACATCTAAATATTGTTATACATACACATACAAACAGTTATCTTTTTCACGACTTGTTTTAACTATTCATAGTCACGTTTAGAGGTCATAATAGAGGTTACTTATTAAAACATTTTTTTAGGAATCTTAAAGGTTAAATTTACTTTCATCATAAAAGAACTAAACCGTTCTTTAATTTACGTGCTACTTTTGAGATTTCAATTCGCGGTGATGATCTATAATAAAATCATCGCTAAATTAATTTTACGCAAAGTCTTCATGAAAAGAAAAATGAAACCTTACGTTTTCGTGGCGAGTCCCGTCAAGGAAGACCAAGAAGTTGGCGAAGTTGTTCTGCTTGTAAGATATATCAGAGTTTGTGGTAATGGCAAGCTTATTACTTTAACATTGAAATTATCTCATAAGTCGACACATCATAACGTTTTCATATAAATAAGTTCAAATGTCAATAAATGTCTTAACACAATTTCGCAGAATACAGTATTTCCTATTTGCTCATAATCCACACATCCACACAACAGAAACAAAACCATAAGCAAAAATATCTAATTAATGAAAAATTCTCCCTGAAAATTGAAACCAAAACGCTAATTCACAAGACGATAGTTAGACCAACAATGATGTATGTACGCATGCCCGATATGGGGAAATGCGGCCAAATGAAAAATAAACATTATGCAAAGTATACAAAATAAAGTGCTAAGAATCATTAATATTAAAGCTCCATGGTTCATTTTGAACGAGCAAATCCAACACGAACTGCACATTCCTACAATGAAAGACATTACCAAACTGTACGAATAATTATTTCCATCACTTTACACATCTCCAAGCGCCTCCATATTCAACCTTGGACGTACAGCACGCTCTAACCAACGTATAAATTCACGGTGCTCTAAAGACAGATTCAGACCACCATAAGAAAGCAGAAAATGTACCTTAAATGATATGACCTTAATAGAATAATCGCATCAACTATCATTCCCTTTAGTATCAATTTACTTTCTAAAAAATAAAAATAATTAAAAAAAACTCACCCATCCAGGGCATTCACGGTTAAGAAATAAACCGAAAGTTATGTATATTTCTATTCACAACCTTGAAGAACATGCAAGTATGTTTAACAGGAAGACAAATTAAAAAAAGAGTTCGGTACACTTTTAGTGAAGAGTTATAGAGAAAGAAAGAGTATGGCGGTGGGAGGGGTATAGAAGGAAGAACGCTTCTATACCTAGCTAGACGAAACTTCTTGTTGATAACATTAAATACTCTTACCTGTTCTCTGCGTGCTTGTTTTGTGACCAATAAAGTAGCGTGAGGTTCCACCCCACACAAATGGAAGAGCTTCAATGTGGTGTTTATTCACTCGGTTCACACGCGCAATTTCCCACGGACGCTCATGCAAAGTTACTTTACGTCAAGTTGGCACTTCGCTACGCATTTTCACGTTTAGAACGAGTTTTGATCGGGTCTTCAGGTCTCGCTATTAACTTAGAACATCCTTCAGTCTTAGCAATGCATAACTGCCAACACGTTTACGGCAAATATTTTTACAGAAAAACCTCATTAATACATTGGTTAGTAAATATGGATATATCTTGTTTCAAGAAAGAACTCACTTTTCCACTACCGATAAATTCAAATGCATCCAGCTTTCTGTCTCGTTGCAATTTACTACAAAAACGCTCATTTAAAAATCCCTTAACACTACTTAGAGAACACACACCGATCATGGCAGATGCAATACTACCCTTACCATCCAAGGCCCCCCTCAAAACCTCAACCTTCCCCTCCACAGCGGGTTTCCCCTTCGCCTGAGCGGCGCGAACGGTTTAAACGACGATGCCGTTTAATCTGTTCACGAAACTTTAATACCGTAATAGAAAAAAATCAGTTATAGCAGTACAGTCGACTACGGTTATAACAAACTTCTGGGGACTAACATTTTCGGTTCACCAAATCCGATTATGTCAAAATCAAATAGAATTTCTCTACAATGATTAATTTTATTAATAGACAGCAAAAAACATTAATGGCACCTATTAAAAATTTCATGATCTTTAAAAAATCAATAGCTTTTAATAGTTTTCTACGTACTTTTTTCATTGGTAATTTCTCTGGATCCTTTTCTGAGTTCGTGCTCTCTCCTTTCTTGATCCTGCATTGTCCTCTGTCTCTAAGTATCGTAATGCAGTCCTGGCACTCTTCAATGTCTCTTGCACTGTTGAGAACATTTCCCACTCTCCGAAGGCCCTTTTGCTCGCCTGATAACATACGAGATCCTTTCGGTAGCGGCACGGCGCAAGCGGCTAAAGAAACTGATCGCAGAATGAAAAATTCTGGGTCTGCTATCTTCACTTTAGGTGAGATTTCTTCGATTACGACCTCTCGTTAACAATTTTTTTTCAAGCGGCCTAGTATTGGAGTTTGTGGCACTGAAGCGATATATTTTTTTCAGTACGGAATTAATTTCCAGGACATATTTCCTTCATTTACAATAGCCGAGGTTCAGTGTTCACTAGAACACAATTTTCGTATCCATTTTTGTAATGTACGTGAAACGGGACCAGTGACTTAAGTTCACTATATCCGAGTTTACTACAACGTAGTCGACTGTACAATCTTTACAATATAGTTTTCATCATAAGTAATGTGCGTTTTGCTTTTTAATGTCTCTGTACTGCAAAAGTTCACTTGTTAACGTCTTCTTACAACTACAGTTATGAGGGTATTTTTCCAAACTTGCGTGAAATTAGTCCTTCTGACAAAGCAATGTAATCCTTCGTTGCTATGACCAGCGAACCTTTGATTAGTATTGTCCAATTACCCCCTCTTTTGAATTCCACCTATTCAGAATTAAGGATGAGCAGATGTTTGTGAGGCAAAAGTAATTTCTTGCTCAGGTTTATAGAATCCATGCGTAACTGGAATAACAACTAACAAATATTTGTACTCTTTTTGTCTTATTGATGTCCCTGTCACACCATGATTGGGGAGAGAGTAAGTTTCCTTCTCTTCTCGAAGGAGCTGTTCGAGAAGCATTTTTGAATGTAAGCTACCCTTCCTAGCAAGAGATCATTGCCCATATGGGATGTTAATATCTAATAATAATAATAATAATAATAATAATAATATTAATAAAACTGTAAAAGTCTTATGTGGTGAAGACTAATGTATAATTACTTCTGTAGAGATAAAACTTACTTTCAGTCACTGCAAATTCATATCAAGATCCGATCAGCGATGTCTGTCTTCGGAAAATGCTTGTACAAAGCAATTTTAAACACAATAATGAATTTTTATTTCGTATATTTTCTATTTTTTTAACATATTTTGGACAAGTTGTTACATTTATACGTGTACATCTACAGGATGTACAGGATTCGAAAATAAGTTCTTAAGACAATTATAAGCACAGTTTATCTAATAAACTACTTGGATATTCTGAACGGCACATGCAGAATAAATTCCCTTCCCTACAGATAAGTGTGCTAGCTGTTAGCTTGCTCGCCATCCACTACGCGGCCCCGGGTTCGATTCCTGGTTGAGCCAAGACTATTGTGTGCATTTTCCTAGTAATGTCCAAGAATATGTTGTGTAACGATGAGAAAATTCACTTGTCGGGTTGAGAAGACCGGAATTGGGCTTGGGGCTAACCACACGTACCCCTTTCACCCATGGCCGCGAGACAGGGACGACGCCGGCAGGCCTGAGCCCGTTCGCGGGCTGTCGCGCCAAGTCCATCCATACACACAGCTACGTGTAATGTGGCGTTGGCAGGGCGCACCAGTCGCTGCGCCTGGTGGCGGGCAAGCACTGCGCGGCGTCGCGGCAGGCGGCGCGCCACGGCGTGGGCCGCATCTCGCAGCTGGACATGGCGCTGACGCAGTTCGGCTTCATGGGCTTCGCGCTGCTGCGGCCCGAGATGCTGGGGCTGCGCGGTGACGACGCCGACGCCGACGGCTTCGTCCACTTCTGGCGCACCGTCGGCCACCTGCTCGGCATCCACGACAGGTGGGGCAACGCACGGACGGGGCTCAAAGCTCTAGGAGGCGCCGGGTTAGGTTCGACAACTTCCGCTCACAAACACTGGCTAATGTGTGAGAAATAAGAAGCGCGAACATCGGCGTTATATTTTGTAACATTGTGGGCCTGCTTGCGACCCGCGAACTCACGCAGCAGCCACGCACGTTTAAAGAAACGTCGTTAGCAGTTCGTGTTTTAGTTCCTGTAAGAAGGTGATGCAGCAGGGCGCGCCATGGTTTCCACCACGTTATATGTGAGTTTTAGGGCCCTGCATCACTGATGTCACTGATGTCTGTGCCTCTATACGGGAGACCCTTGGGTTACACTCCCGACAGTAGTAGGATTTTCGACACCAGCTACATAGGGCGAATTCCGTCGCCGTCCGGAGAAGAATTCTAGCGATCGACTGTTCTGATTGGTAGTTTTTCGTAGTTTCTCTGATCAACTCCAGGCAAATCCTAGAGCACTATCCTATTAAAAGGGCCACGAACAGCGCGCGACTTTGTCTTCCTTTTCTTTGTTCTATCCTCACCCCTTCCCTACATACACTTGCGCTAACATGCACTACACAACCATACATATCGGGAGACCGTTCGGGAGCTTAGAGCCTGTCCTGGCTGGGGCGCAACCTCTCTTGTGGGAGAACCCCGCCAGCCGACGGAAGGTCGGCGCCGTATCTCACCATTCAGCGGGGAAATATCAGCGGCATCGCACGAGAAAAAAACACTATAATTACGGCACTAATGGACTTACTAGTTGACGCGCTCGGTATCACTAATCAATCAATCAATCTTTGGAGAAGTACAGTTCCTTATGTAATCTGCTTTTGTAAGAGCTAGTCGATGTGTGAAGTGTAATATACGTATAATCAAAGCAGATAATTGACATCAAAGCAGACAATCGATAGAAAAAGCTAAGCACCGGACTGTTGGTACCCATCCTGAAGCCCCCGAGTACTCTGTAAAGGTCTGCTCATTTGAAAGATTGGGGACCTGATGAAACATTAAATTGAGCTTCTGTCCCCTATAACTTGCACATAGGCAGGAAATATCTTTAACGGTACTTCGTTACTGTTGACTGTCTTGGAGGCTACAAAATACATGACAAATATAAATTAATTGATTCTTACAAACTGGAAAAATACCTAATATTTCGTTTTGTATGTGCTCACGGAAGCTAGCCAGCTAAAAACCAGGAGAAAAACAAGCATTTTATTAGATGAAAACAAGCGATCAAAACAATCTCCCGCTCTCCAAAGTTTATTTCCATGAACAATCTCCATTTTATTTGTCTGAAAAAGTGTATATTTTGGGCGATTTCCTGTCTTATTTATTGATATGTCATATATTAACAATTGAAGTTCTATCGCAATCTGTAAGAATTTGAAAAAAATGACTAGTCGAATGGTGAACATATATTCAGTGAAGTTTACTATTTATCAGTGTGAAGTGAAAATCAATCAAGAAAGAACATGTTACATCTCAATCTCTGATAGAAAACGAAAAAAGAAACCGGTTTTGATTTGGACCTAAAGTTTGGATGGGCATAAAAATTGCCTTATTGTACCCACAAGAATGTCACATTACTTCGTAAATTCAATTTGTTGCAATATAATTTAGAACTTAAAAATGACTGTATTAACGGAAATGTAAATAGGAAAGTCAAGCCAGTAAGTAAGAAAATTATTAAAAATAAATCCAACATCCATATGAGCTTAACAATTTTTCTAATTCACGAAACATTCTAACACTTATAAATACATTCTGATTACAATATCAAGAAAATATTAATTTTGTAAATTCACTTTTTTTTAAATATATTGATTGTAACGACGAATAGCGCCTGCTGGAAGCATAAGCAGAGTGGCGCAGTGGAAGCGTGCTGGGCCCATAACCCAGAGGTCCGTGGATCGAAACCACGCTCTGCTAACCATTTTTTGTTCAAGTAAAGACTTTTAGCGAGTGACAAGTAACTTCAACGAGTGACATATGAACTTCATGTGAGTTCCTACGTTAAATAATTAATATGCTAGGTACATTGTTTGAGAAATTCTGGAATTATTATAATTTTCATTATTTACATTTCTATTGTATCTCCTCCTATAATTCGGAACTAGAAACCAAATGAAATAAAAGACCGGGAAATCACAAAGAATAAGCAATGCATAGTAACCTACAATTTTTTATATTGATAATTGAATGTGAAATGGAAAAGAAAAAATGTTGCATGATACGGACGATGATTGCGTGATATGATATGTTTCGAGAACGGCTAATACATTGTTTTATCGTTTTCAAAACCTGGAACAAAATATCTAAAAAGTACTCTGAATTTTATGTTTTCGTAATAATTGCAGCCGATAATACTTTCAAAAACTGTGATTACACTAGCACTAATGGATTACATATGTATTAATTCATTAAAAAGTCGCCCGCCACCTCCATAATTCCATCGATGAGATTTATTCATATCGCGATTCTTCCATTTGAAATGGTTAATAATCTCTAAAACAATTATTTCTGATTATTAAGTACAAATAGATAGTGTAAAATAATAACAATACTTTATTAATTTTCAGCTAATTAAAATGTCGAACTTTGCGTGATTACTTGTCTTGCCCCTGGCGCAGTCTCACATGCAACCCACCACACAGAAGTGTTCTCTGGGTTGCATAGCACGTAAAATCGATACCGAACAATACCATCCCATAGTAGACATTGCCCCACAGCCTATCTATTTAGCATTCTCAAGCTAAATGGGGTATTCATTTTTCAGCAATAAAAATAGCAATATTATTAATGTTTCTTATAAGAATGTTTTCGAAATATCGAATGTATAAGAAAATTTTCGGTATCAAGAACCCACAAACCATGGATTTTGGCTACGGCATGTGTTAGAGAAAGTAATTTTTAATTATTAGTAAACAGGTTTTACTCTCTTTTTGTAACCCCGACCCAGCAAAAAGAGTTTTTCTGCAGAAAATTCGCAATTTTCAGCCGCACATTTACATAACTGTCTCTTCTTACGAAATGCAAGAAAGAAAAAATAATTAAATCTTTATTCAATATGTAGCAAATTACTTCAATATAGTCCGAATCCTTGTGATGTGGGTTGATACCGAAAAACACTTGGACGGCGAAACGTCTGCCTTTCCATCTGTGGTAGCGCCTAAACATTTATTTTCTCCAAAATCGCCATTCCCGATCGCCCTGAGCGACCTGGAGCGTCCGCCCGTGCGCAGGTTCAACCTGTGCCGCGAGAGCGTGCACGAGACGCGCGCCCTGTGCCTGGGCGTGCAGCAGCGCGTGTTCGAGCCGGCGCTGCGCTCGCCCGCGCCGCCCTTCCGCGAGATGGCGCGCGCGCTGCTGCTGGGCATGTGGGCCATGGTGCCAGCCATCGACGAGCACGCCTTCCTGGCCTTCACCTACCGCCTGGCCGGCCTCGACTGGGGCGAGCGCCCCTCCTCGGCCGCCGGCCGCGCCTACGCCAACGCCGTGCTCGCACTGCAGCTCCTCGTGCACCAGGTGAGCGGCGCACCACCTAACAAAAGTGTCCTAAACGCGCTTTTTCCTGCGCGGTTGCGGTGAGCGAATCAGCTTTTTTCACATTGTGCGAAACATCGCGAAACGTGTGTGAAACATATGTAACGAATTGCTGGAATCCATTTATTTCTGTACAAGAAAGGTATTTCTAATTTTTTATAATTAATTTATATTCCTTTATTTTCGCGCATGGCGTGTTAAGAAATAGTGTACGCAACACGCGCGCGAGGTGATTCCGCACTCGTCTCTTCGTTTACTCGTGCCTGAATCACCTGTTTCGCGCCCTTGTTACGTAAATTACTATTTTTTCGCTCTTTGCACAGCGTCAATACTTCGTCGTACGTATTAGGAGGAGGCAACGCAAAAATCTGAACTTTTGATATTTTTGAGATTTTATCATTTTCTAAATGTTTAGTTTTCTTAATAAAATGCTATGTACATCATTGTGAAATACACTCTTTTAACCTTTTTACTTTCTCGCTGCCGCTACCACGGTAAGGAGAAAGTTATGTATTGCTGCGCGAAAAAACAGCAAATTTTTGGCAGGAAAACTCTTATTACAGGGTCCTGGTATAGAAAAATAAGGATAAATATTTGCTAAATTTAGAAAAAAAATCCTCTAACACGTGATGAGGCTAGAATCCATGTTTTGTCGGTCCTTGATTCCGAAAAATCTAGTGACGGCAAAACGTCTGTTCGTTCCTTCGTTCGTCAGTCCGTCCGATTGTGAACAACGCTAGCGGCTAAACCATTCAGCCTATTATCTCCAATCTTTATATTCTACAATCGATCTGGCTGATGTTGCGGCCCTTGCAATTTGAATCCGATATTTTAATTTTGGGAGGTCTTTTACAAGAAGCACCTGGGACATTTTTCAAATTTTCAAATAAATGATTCAATCGTTTTTGATTTTTTTTATAGTGTGAAGGGCATTTAAGAGATTGGTGCAGGTCTCATGTTTGTTGAAAACCCAGCAAACCCGAAAATTACAAAAGTTTAAAATTTGATCAGGACTTCCAACATCTAAACCATTAAAGATATATTTTTTCCTCCATGGAATCTGTGCCTTAAATATAATTTTGAAATACAGACATGTACAATTTTTCGAATATTTGAGTACTCTTTACATAATTTTGCGTGGAAATAAGACGAAAAAGTATGTGATGTTTTAACATCACCACGATTTTTCTTTATTCAGTTGGGGATCACTTCTGTACTTATACAAGTAGCTGTCTTCTACTCCAATTTTTAAACACTTAGCAAGTACTTTCTTAGGCCATCAAATGAATGTAAATTCGATTTTTTTCTTTCAATATTAATGATTACGATGTGTTTTTTCGATAAAATATCGATGTGGGAGAGTAGTTCCCATTTCCCTACGGGATCGTATCCCGTTCCGCTATGTTATCGAGTCCCTCGTAAGAGAAGAGACATTGC